TACTCTCGTGCTTCCGCGCGCTGTGATGGACTTCTAGCAGCGCAAGGAGTATTCGTACCATATTTCATATTTGAAAACAACGCAATATTTCTGATCAATGTTTTGTTAAAAAATATTAAAATTTTTACGTAGTAATATATAATTTTTATTTACTTAAACTTTGATACTTTAAACTATTCCATATTTTCTTGTATTGTATACAAAAAATTTAATTTCTTTTTTTAACTATACATTATTCTTAGAAATAGAAGATTTTTTAGGTTTTAGATTAGAAGTATTCCAAAAAGTTTGAAATATTGTAATTATAGATCGTTGACGTAGCTTGAATGTGTTTTCATGAATAATTATCAAATATTTCGGCTGTAAATGGGCTCAGAGGAGGAGAGCTGAGCCTTATATCAAAACTTATTAATAGTATGACTAAATAATTATTGTGAAAAATAACACTGTATTTATATCAACTAATAACGTTAGGCTACACCACCAGTCCATTACGTCGGCTCAGTCGGCTGTCCAGCAAGCCTCAGGATCGTCATAAGAGATGATAAACGCTTGGGCTGGCTCGACCCTTCTCTCCGGGCTCTAAGAGTTCACCACTGTATCGAACTATCAGAGTACAAACGTCGAGCAATAAAAGCCTCACGCTCAGCTCGTAGTATCTTGATGTGTCGAACTCGTGTAGTACAATCACTGGTGTTGTACAAAATCAAAATATTTCTCAGTGTGCCATTAAAATAAAAATTTTTTGTATAAATATAATTTTTGCTGCCTTGTAATTGATAATACAGTTTATGGTCGTTTTTCTCATGTCCGCATTAAAAATCATGCCTAGTTCTGGAATAAATCAGCTTTCCCACTATTTGAAGATAACGCGCCCTTGCGTAAACAAGTCTTAGAAAAGCTTATTTTCTCACAATTTAAGAGTGCATAAAGCCAAAATGAAAAAACTATCGTTTAATCCACTTAATACTACTACGCAATGTGTAAATTACTTTTAGTTCAATATTTACGTTTTCTTTGCCTGTGTTATGACCGGAATTTATTTAAATAATATGGATGAATTTAGTTACTAGATTCTTTTATTTAAAAAATTAAAAATAAGTTATTCTTTTAAACACAATTTATTTAGTCACAAAAAAAAACGTCTAACGACAGTTAGTAAACAATTAAAAATAGCTTTCAATGGTGGTACTGTCACATTTTTGTATTTAGTCAAAAATAATACAACGTTTCAGCCGTTCGAATCGAACTATGAGAAATAAAAAATTCTTTACAATACAAATTTTGATAAAATACAATAAACGCAAATTAAGTTGAGTGTATAACATACCTCTGAATTTTACGAAAGGGATGTTAAATCATAATGTACTCAGAGTTTCAAGTTGAGTTGCTTTTTTACTATTTGAATATACAAATGACATAGCGCACGCACGCAATACAATCAAATTAGAATCGCAAGCTGTTCCTTGTGAGAAGCACGTAAACAGTATATGTGTTTCTAATACTATGAATAAAAGAGGCTCCACAAATCATGTACATCAAGTTCATCTTCTTTTCGAATTGATTTAACAAGAGACTTATAACAATTGTCCAATTTCTCTGTATCTTGTTGTCTATGAATATTATTATTCAAGTTATGTATATTGAACGTTTCACAAAAACGGCGTTTTCTGTAATTTTGTTCTACGTCTAAAATTTTTCTTGTATCAAAATTGAAGTTATATGCAAATGCAATACTATTTGATGCAGCTCTCGATATTTGACTGACATGACAGCAGTTGCGATTTGTACATGGTATTTGGTAAACGACGTTTTTTTTGTCGAGTTGCTAAGTTACATTTTTTCCAAAAGGAAAAAATCGATTTCAACTTATTATTTAAACTGTATACCAAACCTATGTGAAGCTTTTTACAATAATATGTAACATGACTGTGCAACTAGGGAATATACGGCACTGATAAGATCAGTTTATAATTATTATCATTTTTCTGCGATTGTCAATCATACTCATGTTTTGTAAGGTATTTTTTTTCACAAATTTATGAAGTAGTTTTTGAGAATAGTTTTTAGCTAGTAAAAATTCATTTATTAATTTTAAATCATTATGGTATTAAGTACCTGCTAATTTAATGGAAAAGTCTAGTAGTGTATAAATGATATCTATTTCATGCTGTATTAGGTGGTGGGAGAGAAAATTCAAGTATCAGCCAGAGTGCGCGGATTTTTGGTACTAATTAGTTAGTAATGTATTATTTTGTTGAATAATAATATCCAAGTCTATAAAACTAATGCTGTTATTATTACATGTCTCAACGGTGAATTGTAATTCAGTACAATAGATGTTGAAAATGTTTGTATTGTAGGTAATATATTTTGTAGGTACACATAAGAGGATATCATCTACATAGCGTACATACAGTGGAACATTAAAACAAAACTTCTTTAAGCATGACATTTCAAAAAATCAGAAAAAAATTTGTAAAAACTTATTTACTTCATTAACAATCCCGTATTGATCCCACTTGCTTATAGAACTTTAAGTAACTTTAATTAATTGCTTTAAAGGATTCTTTTGTAACAGTAAATAATATTTATCATTACTTAACAGTTCTTCTACTTTATGAATATAAATTGCTTTGTCAATGACAGCGATGAAATTAACCGTTCTTTCTGATTTATTGATCAATAATATTCTGCTGGCACTCACACATAAAAAATAGTTACAATTTGAAAAATAAATTAAAAGGTGTTATTATTCTACCTGGTTGCACTATAATTTGTCTGGGTGTAGCTTATTTACTAATACTAGTTAAATCTTAATTAAAAACGCAGTAAAACGTCTTTGGTAATTCTCAAATCGTGAAATCAATGTTTCTTTAAATGAATTTTGCACAGTTGTTTCTTTAAATTTAAAGTCGACTTTTTTCCAGTTCAACAACAAATATTATAAACAAGTTTTTACACAAGCTCATCAATGGGCAATCCTTGTAGTCCGGTACTGTATGATCTTGTTATGCGTTTACTTGTGATTTCATGCTTGAAGAAGTTATGTTTTAATGTTCCACTGTATGTACGCTATGTGGATGATATCCTTTTATGTATACCTACTAAATATATTAACTATATTAAACAAATTATCAATAGCTATCGTCCTGAATTACAATTCACTGTTGAGACAACAACAGCATTAATTTCTCAGACTTGGAAACTATAATTCAACAAAATAGTACGGTACTAACTAATTGGTACAAAAAACCTACACATTCCGGCCGGTACTTGAATTTTGGTGAACACTCATCTTAATTTTGCGTTTGTTGTATTTTGTGAAAATTTGTATTGTAAAGAATTTCTTATTACTCATAGTTTTTCGTACCTGATGAGGGCTGGGACGTTGTCTGAACAGCCGAAACGTTGTTTTTGTTTTTGAACAAATACAAAAATATGATAGTACCACCCACCATTAGACGTTTTTTTTCAACAATTTATTCAGGTCACTCTAAGAAGGTTTACTATTAATTATGTTACTGATAAACAACTTACATCTATCTCAGGTGGTTGTTACTACTGCTCTGGAGTTCTCTAATGCTTTGTGGAGTATTTCTCAGTGGTTCTTTAAAGTACGCGAATAAGTCCGTGGCCGGAAAAAAAGATGTTGCGGTTCCTGCTTTCTCTGTTATCGCCAAAACTACTTTTAGCCGGCCTCTTTTGCTGTACCTCGCTGCTTAGCGTAGTCCAAGACTATTAATATCATTGAAATACACCTAAGTTGCCTCAGCCGACGCGTTACGCCTTACGTGTATAAGGTACTTGCAGGACGTGGTCGTGGGAGATTTTATGTATTCAGAAATAACAATATAACAGTACCAACCGCATTTTTCTGACAAGTGTGACTGAGATTTTGGATCAATGATTATGCAAATTCGTATTAGCAACAAAAGAAATACCAAGTACAAGTTTGAGTGGGACTAATAAGATTATAAATTTTGCAATGAATCATTTTGGAAATTTTACAATCAATTTTAAATATATAAAAATAATTCGTTAATTACAATTTTGAAATTTGTATACATTATGAGAGATGAATATACATTATTATGAATTCGCAAATAATCTATTCATTAATACATACAACACAGTTTATTCACAGATACATATATAGTATCAAATAATATATACATATCAAATTTTACGTATGAATTTCGTTTTTACTTATAGTATGATTCATGCGTATTAACTTGGGATGTAACACCTGCACAAAGAGACACGCAGGAAGTAAAAGTTAAAAAAAAATTATAATTTAATTATAAAATAGACTAATGGCATTTTTAAAAGTTATTAATATTATTTTAATAATTATGACTATGAACCACATTTTTTTTTAATGTACGTCAAAGTTGTTAAAAACATATTTTTTAATCCGTTTTTCGATTTACGTGTATGTGCAAATAATCTAAATACTCCATGTTTTTCGAGACCCAGCCTTAGCGTGCCTGTAAGTACTGGAAAGCTATTGGAAATTCAGTCCAATGTTGTAACAATTGATAACATTAAAATTTGAGATGGCATTAATTTGTCAAAAAGAGCGATGAAAATTTTGTACTAATTATTCGATCCCTGCGTACGATTAAAAAACTCTATCTTGTTTAAATCTAGCAGGCCCCCATGTACCTTAAAATAATTTTATATCACAGCTTTATATAATTCCAATGAATTAAATGTTTTGTTTTTTTAAATTGGAACAGAGGTATACAAATGAGGTGTAAATTTTTTTTACTGGTTGTTTGATTATCTGTTATCTGTGAACGATTAAAAAACTCTCTTTTTAAAGATTCTTGGGCTCACATACTAGTGATATTATTTTTGCTGGACAAATGAAAATCAATAGAACATAAGAGTTGGTGCTAGTAGGAAAATGCTTGACTTCTACCTACTAATTTTTTTAAAGATACATCCAATCTTTTTTAAATATCTAATAACAAATAAATGATTTTTGTGTTTAGCAATATTCTTTAAGAACTCGAGGAAGAGCAGTTGAGATATTTACAACAATATCAAGTTTAGTTGCCGAAAGTGACATCCATCATAAAGGTTTTATTGAACTGTATTTGGAACCAGTTATACCTATGTTTTGTGAAAAATTTGTAAAGTGTCTAGAAATGCCTGATGGTCCAACAAGTGATAGCAACCTCAAAACTGAAATCGTAAAATCTATAAATTGTTTGATTTTAAAATTGTCAAAACATATGACAACAATCGTACCACGAATTCTTTCGTCTGTATGGACTTCTTTGACTCAATGTGCTAAGATATACCAAGAAAAAGTCCTCAATGAAGACGAAAATCCTGATAATATCGAAATTGATTCTGATGGTAATACTTATGGTGAATAATTCTGTTTTTCAAAATAATTTTATTCAAAACATTGTCATAATTATTTTTTTTACAGGTGAAATCATTGATTGTAACAATCTTGTTATAGCTATTTTCGATTTTATCAGTTTATTAATAGATCGCAAAAAGTATTCTCATTTTTTAAACGACTTGCTTACTGATATTATGTACAATATTGTTTTATTCCTACAAGTCACTCAAGATCAAATTGAAATATGGACAAATAATCCAAATCAATTCATTGAGGATGACGATGAGTTGGGTGTATACAATGTTCGAATGTCAGCACAAGAACTTCTTCAGGTATTTTGAATTAACAAATCTACTGATAAACTTCATAGTCATATTAAGAACTCTTATCCCTAATATTGTTATTTTCATCTCATAAAATTATAATTATGCACGGGGGTCCTATGTATTTTATAGATTATCTTAAAAGTCGTACAGCTTGCACGTCCTTAACTTTTTTCACCTCATCAGAGATCCAAAAATATTTTATTACTTAAAACTAGAAGGATGTGGTTTTAAGAAACAGATTGCAAGGCAAGTCTTTAATAGATTTTTTAAATTTTTATCATAGAGTAATGTAAACAATGATTACAAAATTTAAGATCGAGGAATCTTCTCTATCAAATCCTTAAATTCTAGATAGATTTCAAACAATTTGTGTGCAGCTCTATGCTCTCGGTTCAACTTAACCATGTCATCATTTACCATTGTTCCCATCACTATCTGTCCTGCTTTGATTGTATCGTGCATCTGTTCTTCGGACAGTATCCGATTTTGTTTATTATTTTCTGTTTCATTCTATTGTGAATATAGATGCTAATGTGGGCTTCATCCATCATTGATTCTCTTTTTGTCCTTGTTTTTTTCACTTTTAGTCAGAAGTCTTGTAAAACTAGCCAACTTTTTAGTGTTTTCTTTGTGCTTATCCACCAATTTGAACTTCAGCTTAGTTATCATTTCTAAAAAGATAAGACCTCTTTAGTAGTTTTCTTGTCATTCTTTTCTCTTTGTGTTAACGTAGCTTACATAAGACTTCCCTGACTTTTTTCTGATGTAGTTCTAAATTGAAACCATTATTTTATCAAGTTAAGTATTAACATTAATTAGTGTCTACAGTTCTAATCACATTAGTGAAAGATTTTCATAAACTCTGTTGCATTCTTTTCTTCAGTTACAGGCCTGTCTGAAAAGAGATTATATCATTAGTTGAGGGTTGTCCGAGAATCATTAAAATTTTCTACCTTACCGTTAGGTTTAATTTGATGTTAGAACTATACAACAATATTTATTAACGAATATTTTTTTCTATCTAGTTTTTTTCATTCAGTATTGAGTAAATAATATGTTACATCTTTACCTTTTTTTCGAAAGTACATTAAAAAAAGTTACGAACACTAATAACTTCATCCAACGAAAGTACTGCATAGGATTTTACATGATTAAATTAGTTTCCTAGCCTACCGATCAGTAGCTACTTTATTTAGTTTACCATAATCGATTTGAAACACTGACATGCCAGAAAAAGAATTGATTCACAATCCTGACTTTGCAAAGAATAAATGGAGAAGGATTTTGGTAAAATTCACTGTAATATAAAGAAAGAAAATGAAAAATGCATCAAATAATTCTAATATTTGATTCTCCACCTCTTGTCTGCAATTTTCAATTAACTTTGCTGAGTAAAGACTTGATTCAACCTTTGCAGTGTCGAAAATATGCATCTAGTCTTTTTTTTCCTGAAATAGCTACATGTTCAATAAGTAATGTTATAAAACTATAAACTTAAACTGACCTTATTAATAACGTACGGAACTTCTCCAGACTCTAGACTGCTCTTTAAGAACGCGTATAACAGTAAGCGGGGAAAAAATTAGATCGTGGTGTCACCAGTAGTAAACCTAATATAAAATTAATGCTTATGATTATAGATAAATAGCTATGAAAAGTAGTCTCTTGTATTGTGTAGAGCCAGTTTTTTAGAAAAACAAAGCTGTTTCATCTAGTACTACTTAAAAATTATGAATTAGACTTACCTCAAAAGAGAGGATTAAAATATCTGCATTTGAGACATGCATTACACTAATTTTTTTTAAATTACAGCTCATATCAATAAAATGATTAACGCCTTGTTTCTACACATAAAATCCTTTTACTACGAATCATAACGATATTATAGATTAGTCATAACGATACAAGGATTTTGTGTTCTTGAATACACTCATTTTCCATTAACTTACTTGCATTTTTAGCTAATAACAGTTATAAACTTTATAGATTACTTCCATCGTAATACGGATATAACATATAATTTAAAAAGAAAGAGACCAAATTTAAATGCTAGCAGTACTGTAAGAAAAAGAAACAAGTACACCATTTGTTGATCAAATATTAAACTCGAAAGCGATAAGAGAGTTATGATGACTAACGTAAATCCATAAGAAATATCGAACACAATTTCGACAGCAACTTGTATCTTTCCAAATCCAAAAGATCAGCAGTTTTAACCATCAATTACTGCATAATTATTACAGCACGACTGTGCTCATGTCAATCGAGAGTAATTAGGTTAAGCTCTGATTTATCGTTCGAAGCTCCAACCTGACGTGTCCTCCTTAAATGTAAGAGTATAAAAAATTCCTTGCACGTGCCAATATTTGCCTTTTCTCTTTCATCAAGTGCTCTAAAATAACTATTAAAGTTACTGAGTGAGTTCAGTTTCGTCTTTTAAGCGAATGTAAGACTTAATTTAGTGATTCAGCAGTGTGTATTTCAAGCAAATTTTAGTCTTAGTTTCGGTGAATAAATTGTGTTGGCAAAGTTGAAGCAAAGCATTTTATTAGATAAGACATAACTTATTTGTCGACTAAATTTATTTTCTCAATTCAGTTATTTGAAGATTTAAGATTCTTATTCATAGGAATATAATTTTAGCTTGGATGAATAAGTTAAATACCAAGCAAAAATTAAATAGATAACGTATGACAAGACCTTCACTAGGATGTGAGATAAAAAAAAATAATGAAATACGCTACTACTGCATGATACATAAGATATAAATTCAAACAGTAGGTCAACGCCAGCTTGGCGTATGACACATTAACACCACTTCACATATACTATTCGGTGAAACCTAACACCACAACACCTACTCAATGATTTTAAAGAAAAGTATACTGTATGTAAGAGTAAATAAGGCCTTCGAGCCGACGAATTGTTCCTGACGAACAAAAATTAAATTTATCAATTTGTAGAATGAATCCACGAGTTACGCCCTTCACTTAAAAGTTTGGTCGTAACATTGTCTATTAAAATTAAATAATTTATCATAGTTTTGTAAAGTTATGTCTACGTTCTAAAAACTATGAAATTTTAGTATTACAATAATATTCTTAATTAACGATATTTTTTTTTAATTGTTTTCTCCAAAACCTTACGAATTATTGCAAAAAATAAAGAAACACGCATCCTAACCTACAAAATGTAATTTCGTTAAGTTCTTGTTTCTTAGTGACCCATCACATTATCTGAAATACGGAAGGTCGGGAATAAATAATTGGAAATGAAACTTCTTGAAGCGCAGTGTTTTCAAAAATTAAATTCGTGCAACGAATAAGCGAACTAGAAAAAGCAAATTAGGATATACGATAAGACCACGTTTTTTTAGTTGTTTTTAGTGTAGATATTTGTATTCAGTACATCACGAGTGTCCCTATTTTTCTATCTCTGCTAGTTGGTCCCCCTTAAGTATGAGTGTATATTTCTATAAGATATGGCGTGCCTGTACGAACTCCTAGTAATACATGTTATAGTATGGCTGGAATTTCTTACACACTTAACGCCTTAACTCCCTAATAGAATGTAATAATTGTTACTCCAAATTCATGTTATTATCACAAATTTAGTTGACAAATGATGAAATTTTAATAGAAAAAAATATTGCCGGTTTAAATCAAGGTAGTATTTTGAACATATCTTTCTCTTTGAGTACGTCAAATAAATAATGAACAAATACGTATTTATTACTTAAAACTAGAAGGATGTGGTTTTAAGAAACAGATTGCAAGGCAAGTCTTTAATAGATTTTTTAAATTTTTATCATAGAGTAATGTAAACAATGATTACAAAATTTAAGATCGAGGAATCTTCTCTATCAAATCCTTAAATTCTAGATAGATTTCAAACAATTTGTGTGCAGCTCTATGCTCTCGGTTCAACTTAACCATGTCATCATTTACCATTGTTCCCATCACTATCTGTCCTGCTTTGATTGTATCGTGCATCTGTTCTTCGGACAGTATCCGATTTTGTTTATTATTTTCTGTTTCATTCTATTGTGAATATAGATGCTAATGTGGGCTTCATCCATCATTGATTCTCTTTTTGTCCTTGTTTTTTTCACTTTTAGTCAGAAGTCTTGTAAAACTAGCCAACTTTTTAGTGTTTTCTTTGTGCTTATCCACCAATTTGAACTTCAGCTTAGTTATCATTTCTAAAAAGATAAGACCTCTTTAGTAGTTTTCTTGTCATTCTTTTCTCTTTGTGTTAACGTAGCTTACATAAGACTTCCCTGACTTTTTTCTGATGTAGTTCTAAATTGAAACCATTATTTTATCAAGTTAAGTATTAACATTAATTAGTGTCTACAGTTCTAATCACATTAGTGAAAGATTTTCATAAACTCTGTTGCATTCTTTTCTTCAGTTACAGGCCTGTCTGAAAAGAGATTATATCATTAGTTGAGGGTTGTCCGAGAATCATTAAAATTTTCTACCTTACCGTTAGGTTTAATTTGATGTTAGAACTATACAACAATATTTATTAACGAATATTTTTTTCTATCTAGTTTTTTTCATTCAGTATTGAGTAAATAATATGTTACATCTTTATTATTGTTAAGAA